GACATGTTTGTATGTATGTATGTATGTATGTATGTATATGAACATGTGTGTATGTATGTATTGCTGCACATTTGCATGTATGCATGTATGCATGCATGTTTGCATGCATGTATGTATGCATGTATGTATGTACGTATGTAATGATCGTAACGCATGTGTGCGTTGTAATGTGTGTATATGTATGCATGTCTGTATGTATGCATGCATACATGCATGTATGTATGTATAGTATGGATGTATGTATGTATGTATGCATGCATGCATGTATGTATGTATGTATGTATATATATATGTATGTATTTATATAGGTAGGTCGGTAGGTAGGTAGGTAGAAATGTCAGTAAGGCGCTGGATCAAGTCACGGTCACGGTCACGGTCACGGTCACGGTCACGGTCACGGTCACGGTCACGGTCACGGTCACGCTCACGGTCACGGTCCCGGACCCGGACCCGGACCCGGACCCGGACCCGGGACCGGACCCGGACCCGGTTCCGGTCCCGGTCACGGTCACGGTCACGGTCACGGTCACGGTCACGGTCACGGTCACGGTCACGGTCACGGTCACGGTCACGGTCACGGTCACGGTCACGGTCACGGTCACGGTCACGGTCACGGTCACGGTCACGGTCACGGTCACGGTCACGGTCACGGTCACGGTCACGGTCACGGTCACGGTCACGGTCACGGTCACGGTCACGGTCACGGTCGCGGTTGCGGTCACGGTCACGGTCACGGTCACGGTCACGGTCACGGTCACGGTCACGGTCACGGTCACGGTCACGGTCACGGTCACGGTCACGGCCACGGTCACGGCTACGGTCACGGTCACAGTAACGGTCGCGGTCACGGTCACGGTCACGGTCACGGTCACGGCCACGGTCACGGTCACGGCCACGGCCACGGCCACGGCCACGGTCACGGTCACGGCCACGGTCACGGCCACGGGCATGGGTTTTGCCCGTGTAATGGTGACGTCATCGGCGACAAAGTCGCTGGCAGCATCGGTCATGGTCTGGACCCAAATCGTGGCGTCGCACAACGGCGCGGAACACAACACCGCACCGCACAGCATGTCATGGCATGGCGCCTGACTCCTCGGAGGGTAAGTGGATCGTCGTGGAGAGGTCTGGGCTCGTCTGGAGCCGCGGCTCCACGTCCAGCTCCTTAGGCTTCCCGAAAAGCCCCTCACAAGAAGGGCTGTCGGATAGAACCCGCTGGCTCTGTTTTCAACATCGCCTGTTCGAAGCTGAAACAGGGTTCCTGCTTGATACTGCTTCAGAACAACGACGACGCCCCCAAAGGGGGGGGTCCGTCAAAGCCCCAACAATTCAGCGAATCGACTCCGGATGTGCTATCACGACCGATGCTTTTTTCGGAGGGCTTATCTTTAGACCGTGGGCATTACTGGAAGGACCGAACACGCCGGCGCTGCCGCGGGAGTTCGATGTGGAACAATTGGAAGCGCGGAAGCGGGGCCAGCCCTGCAGCGGGAGCAACATTTTGAACAATCGAAAACAATCGGGGTGGAATAACACATAAAGCACATCAACTTTTCAAATCCGGTGTGAAACAACAATACGCGGACAGGGCGGGAGACTCTCTGCACAGACTAGGGGGAGAGAGGGAAGTAGTATCCATATTGTGGAATTGTGTAACGGGAGGGGCAGAGAGGGGAGGGCGAGGGCGGGGGGACTGGAGGGACAACGGGGGGGGCAGGGAGGGCAGGAGAGGCAGGAATGGGCGGAGGGAGAGGGGAGAGGAAGGGATTCGGAACAACATATCCACGGATAGCCGTTCATGTCCCGCGCGCCCGACCCCAACCCCCCGTTAGGGTCCGCCCGCCCGACCCGACCCGACCCGTCCGTTAGGGTTCACGCGTGTCGAGTGGACACGCACCATACTTGAACGCCCCGCCCGCGCGACCCGACCCGCCCGTTAGGGCCCGCCCGACCCGACCCGACCCGCCCGTTGGGGTCCGCCCGCCCGACCGGACCCGACTCGCCCGTTAGGGTTCACGCGTGTCAAGTGTACACGCACCATACTTGAATGCCCCGCCCGCCCGACCCGACCCGCCCGTTAGGGTCCGCCCGACCCGACCCGCCCGTTAGGGTCCGCCCGACCGACCCGAC